TTGTAATTTGTATCTGTAAAGCTCTTGTGCCAAATGCAGCCTATGCTTTTTGGTGTCTGTACAACTTGTAGTTTTTGAAATATTAATGTTTAAACTTTATTCCAAATTCATATAATGGGAGTCAATGGGGCCTTGGACTCAACTTGGTACTGCTCCATACTTTAATAATATTTCATCTCAATTGTTCAGTGTTTACAATACTAATATGATTGTATTTGGATGATTTGCTATAATATTGTCTTAATATTGCTCTATTGTTGTAATATTATGCAGTTAAGTGTCAATAATTGCATTGGCAAGGTAAACATTTTCTGTGTGCATACAATCCAATCCCTGGCATTGTCCTTTGCCACATCTCTTTTAGTCTCATGATGAGCACTGTGGGCTTTCAGGTGGGAGATCAGGGTTCAAATCCAGCTACTGCTACTTTAACAGAAATCTCTTCAAACTTCATATTGTCACACAATTACCTTAATTACACACACCTGCTGATGTGACAGGCACAAGCTGGTATAGAAAACATGTTTGAGCTACTCCTCCTGCATACTTTGTCCTACAGCAGCCATTGTAATTTCTATCTGTAAACGTCCTGTGCCAAATGATTCCTATGCCTTTTGGTACCTGTACAACTTGTAGTTTTTGAAATATTACTGTTTAAACTTTATTCCAAATTCATATAATGGCAGTCAATGGGGCCTTGTAATGGTCCAATACTGCCCCCAGCTGTTATCAACTTGGTACTGCACCATAGTTTTTTAATATTTAATCTCAATAGTTCATTGTTTACAATACTAATATAATTGTATTTTGATGTTTTACTATATCATTGTCTTAATACCGCTCTATTGTTGTAATATTATGCAGTTTAGTGTCAAAAACTGTTTTGGCAATGTGGCCTCCTTCTGCACACATACTCCTGGCACCACACACTGCCACAGCTCCAACAGTCTAATGGTCTATGTCATGGGCTTTCATGTGGGAGATCAGGGTTCAAAACCCAGCTAACGCAACTTTAACAAAAAATTTCTTCCAACTTCATATTGTCACTCAATTACCTTAATTACAAACACCTGCTGATGTGACAGGCACAAGCTGGTTTAGAAAACGTTTTTGAACTTGGTCAAAGCTCATTCTGCAAGTCCAATGCTCCTGCAAACTTTGTCCTACAGCTGCCATTGTAATTTCTATCTGTAAATGTCCTGTGCAAAATGATTGCTATGCCTTTTGGTGCCTGTACAACTTGTAGTTTTTGAGATATTAATGTTCAAACTTTATTCCAAATTCATATAATGGGAGTCAATGGGGCCTTGTAATGGTCCAATACTGCCCCCAGCTGTACTCAACTTGGAACTGCACCATAGTTCTTTAATATTTTACCTCAATGGTTTAGTGTTTACACTACTAATATGATTGTATTTTGATGTTTTACTATAATATTGTCTTAATAC